TCAGTGTGCATCAACTTAGAACTTCTGACCACCTCTGATGTTTCTTGTTGAACCACAGCGCGCCTGGCACCATAACTTCTGGTCCTCTTTATTTTTGCTTTCAGCAACATGCTGATCCTATTTCTCTTTATTTTTCCTTTTTTTCTATTTTATTTTATTATTAGTACTATTTTTATTAATATAAAAAAAGACCTAAAAATATTTTCTTTTTATTAACTAATTATTTCCTCTTTTATTCTAATTCATTAAGACAAAAAAATCATTTTCAAAACAAGTCTTTTCCTTTTCTTATATTGTACAATTCAATATGGTTGTAATAGATAATTAGGATTTGAACTCTTGCAAATCCCCATTTGTAATTATGTATCCCCATCCCTAAATGATGTAATAGCATAGGACTTTACATTTCCGTAATTTATCGCTTTCAAATATAAATGCTAATAATTAGGGTTTGTATGGAAAGACATGAAATCAACAAATAGATAACCCTAATCAAGACTAAATGCATGTAAATTAAACACACTTGCACACTAGCACCCTTAGGGTAATCCCATTTTGTTTCTTCTCGGAAAATAGTCATGTTCCTCGAATATGGACGTTTTAGCAAAGACCCTCGATAAAAGATCATAGTCCCTCGATGTCCCTTGATGTTGCCTTCGGTGAATGATCTAGTCCCTAAACGAAAATTGCTAAAACGTCTCATAAGTTGCCTTCAATGACTATACAAAATGTCTCGTGCTCGTCCCTTCACATCCAACGATGGGGTTTCCTACCAAAACAATGGTGAGATAACAACATCTAAAGGAGAATGAATAGAATGTTTAAGACCTTTTGAGTAGGTAGGTTGCTCCTAGTTGCTCGCTTGCTCACAACAAAAACATTTTATACACCCCCAACTTCACTTTGAAACATTGTTTTTAAAAGACAAAACACTTTGTACATGTTCTTATAGAGACGAGAACCATTACAAAGATATTCTTTTTCAAAATACTTTCAAAACCCACATTCAAACAAAAAGCAAGTGATCTAGCAAGAAACTAAGAGTCTGTAGATAACTACGGATGAAAAGGGTGCTAACACCTTCCCTTTTCATAACCCACCCCCCGAACTCAAGAAAATATCTCGAAAGGTCTTTCCTGTTCTTTTCAACCTTTCCTTTTGGATAAAATAAAAGTCAGTGGTGACTCTTGCTATCCGCAACAAATGCGATCAAATGCAAAACATCCAAGTCAATTCACCCACCGTGTTACAGACCGGCTAGATTGTGAATGATTGGTATTGAAGCCAAGTGATATTGTTGTAAGGGCTTTCGATGGGTCTAAAAGGATGGTTCATGGAGAGGTGGATCTCCCCATTAAAGTTGGCTCACAGATTTTCAACTCTACCTTTTATAATGGACATACCTCCCACCTACTCTTGTTTGCTTGGACACCCTTGGATCCATGGGGCAGGGGAAGTAACATCCACCCTTCATCAAAAATTAAAATACCCAGTCAAGGGGAAGATCGTTACTGTTTGCAACGAATAAGAATTTATGGTGAGCCATCTCAATCCCTTCAAGTATGTGAAAATGGGATATGAATTCATAGAGACTCTGTGCCAGGCTTTCGAAATTGTTCCTCCTATGGTTGTCGCCACCAAAATCTTCTCCAACATATCAAAAACTGATGAAGCTATAGCAAGAATGGTTTCACTTAAGGATGCTCGTGTCGTGGTCGAAGATGGAAACTGTACTATCTGGGGACAACTTCCCGACATTCCATTTAAAGCAGACAAATTTGGATTGGGTTTCACCATCAAAGCTCAGAAAGAAGTCAGGCGCGCTCGCGTGGGAAAGCCACCTCTCTGCATCGGGAATCATAAAGTGAAAGTTGTGGAAGACTCTGATGATGAAAATAATTTTGAAGATTGGATCTACCCTACTGTCAAAGGAAAGCTCAACAACTGGCATGCAAAGGGTTTCACTCTCATCTCCTTCATTGAGGAGTAATTATTGCTTACTATTTTCTGTCAATTCAAGAAATTTTGTCTGTAATCTTAAATTCCAAACAATGACTTTTATCTGTTAGTTTATGAACTCTAGAGATAGATTTAGAGGTGACATCTACTTGGATATCAGAGCTTAATGCCTCTGTGTTGTTTGTGTCACTTTGAGAGATCATCGATGCAGGCAAGCACAATTGACTTCTGTGTTGTTGAGGTGGTTGAGAGACCGCTACTGAGGTGATACAATCAGCCTCTCAATTTGGGTTAGAAATGACTTAGGTTGTGAGTGATACTGTTGTACCCCCAAAATTTTCCCTCCCATTTTCTTCAAAACATTCTTCTAAGGGTCTCAAGTATTCAAGGATACTCAAGAGTTGACCAGTCAAACCTCTTCCTAAGCAAAGAGTCTACAACTTGGGTTTTGAGTTTCTCAAGGAATATTGGGTTTCAAAGGTCTTAAGTTGTTTCCATGGTTCTTCATATGTCTTCAAGGATTCTCATATCAAGTTTCAAGCCTTGCATCACAAATTTGCTCAGTCAATAGCTCAGATGATTGAAAATCAACTATATTGGGTAAAAAGTCAACTATGGTCAACATACAGTCAAACTTCAAGGTTTTTGATCAACATCAACATTTTGAAGTGATATTCATCATTTTATTAAGGGTTGATCATTCCTCAAGGAAAGCCCTCAAATCATCAAAAGTCAAAAGTTATCAAATTAGGGTTTCCTTAGGAGAAGTCAACTAAACTTTGACCGAACATAACTTTCACATGCTTCATCAAATTTTCCCCAACCAAAGACCATTTTTAAGGAAATTCAATTCTCTACAACTTTGTATATGTATTCTCAAGTCCAAAAAGTGCTTCATTTGAAATATATGAGCCCATGCATTATAGGTCATTTCAAAAGTCAACAAAAGACACTTTTTGTCAAGGCAACTTACATCAAGATAAAGTCTCCAAATGCAAAAATGATCAAAAGAGAAATTGTAAAGGACATCTTGAGCTTTCCAAAAAGTTAAACATAAACTTCAAAAGATGAAGATTGAGAGAGTTAAACATAAACTTTAAGGAAATGCAAAGTGAGCAAACTTGAAATTTTGAACTAATGGACCTAACTTTTGATGTTAAAACATGTTTACCAGGTACTAGAAGACCTATAAATTCATGCACATATTTTTCATGATTTTTATTTTCTTTATTTGAATTTTTATTCATTTAAATGAAATTAAAACAAATAAAATATGAGGCAATGTTGTAAGGCATGTGGGCTTGCTCTTTTGGATCAATTCAGGCCCAACAACATTTGACCACCTTGCCAAAATCGTGTGAAGCTCAAAAGGGCGAGAAAATTCTCAAAAATTGAAACTTTTAAAGTTGTTTGATTCTTGTCTCATAGCCTTGAATGCATTATTTTCTTGCCATACTTGTTCACCCTATTCCTCCCTCTATATAAACACACAAAGTCAAAAGCAAAGCACACGCATCTTTGCCCCATAAAGCTTGCCAAAATTCTAAATTTTTGTAAGATCCCTAAGTTGTCAAAACTCTCTTTGCAAGCCTCCTCAGTGCAAGATCTCCATTCATTTCGTTTCCAGGAACATTGAAGGGTAAGGCTGGATTGGTTCCTATGGCCCTAAGGTTCTGAATCATTATGCATGGCATCATAGTTTTTATTTATTTTTCGAATCCTTGATTTTATCATGATTTAGCATGCACTAACATTATTAACCAGTTTCTGAGGTGTTTTTGAACAGGCTTGGATGGGTATCATGATCCCATGCAGTTAGAATTATAAGACACCATAGCTTGCTCTGATCGATTTAGTGGTTCATTACGCTGACCTCAAACTCATTGAAAGGGAAGAGAGAACCTACGAGGTTGAATAAGCATTTGTGGAAGGGGATGGCATACCCATTGTATTGATGGCATGCGCTAGTGTAGGCATACGCGTAAATCCTTACCAGCAAAATGTTACTTATTATCAGAAACGTATTTAATGTACATGTTCTCAAGGGTAATGACATCCCATCAAAAGTCTTCACATCCCCGAATCTAAGGCCGAACAGAGGCATGTATTACAAACCCTCGCCTTGTAAAGTAGAAACAAGGGCTTGGGGCTAATTGTTCTAGGTCGTCGACAAGGCCCCGATAGCATAATAAGAGGAGGAAAATGCAAAACACATAGTCTCAATTTTCTCTTTAAATAGTCAATTTCACACGAGAGAGCTTTGTTAATCCTTCATATCAATATGTCGGCTGATCGAGATTCACATTTCAATTGCTAACTGCTCCTCCTATGTAAGAAGAGAAACAAATTAGTTCTCAGATATTCAAATCATTACTTATTCATACACCACTTTTCACTTTCATATTGACTCGAGCGTTGTTGTGCTAACCTTGCATGTGAGCTTCTTCTCCGCGATATTAAAAGTATATAACCATCATAAAAACCTCTACATTCTCATTTTATGGTCAATTGTGATTCCACTATTATACATTGGTATCGTCTATGTAGACGTGTTAAAAAGGTTTGACCAATTTAATTGAATATTTTTATGTTATATTTAGTGATAGATTGAGTATGGTCCAATCGAGATAATAAATTTCAATAAGCATCATAATTAAAGTAGCAGGGAAATATATGTATTTTGATGAGATAGTGATGACCCCTCAATCGGGGAAATTAACCCAATCTTTTTAATATGACCTTGTTTTAATTTGACCTTGTAATATATATATATATATATGGTGGTGAACTATATGTTTTTTTATAACAAAAATAGAATAGTCGCGTTGAGTTAACACGTTACACGTAAACCGTTGTGAGTAGCAGGTGAAGGTAGCATGGAAACAACGTGGAAGCAAGAAAAACTAAGACAACAAGCAAACTATTCATCATTATATGATACTATATAAATAGAAGATGATCCATCCCTTTATGCATCAATCAATCAGCTAGTTTGCATTAATATCCACATATTTAGACTTATCAAACCAGCCTTCTTCAACATGTCATTGAAACAACGTCGATCCGACAAGCAATCTGCAGAAGCAGAAAACAACAACATCAATGGTGCTGATGCTGCTGGTGCGGGTGGAACATCATCGGCAGCAGCACATAGAATCAATTCACCTTCCTTATCGAAACGGGCAGTGACTGGAACCCTAACCGCGGCAGCCAACTTGACAAAAATGCTTCCAACTGGAACCGTCTTGGCATTCCAGATTCTGATTCCAGTGTTCACGAACAAAGGATCTTGTGACTCCGTCACACACATCCTCACACTCGGACTCCTCCTCTTGCTAGCCTTCTCTGCCATCCTCGCATGTTTCACTGACACAGTCAAGTCATCAGATGGAAAAAGAATATACCATGGTATAGCAACCATCAAGGGTCTGTTGCTGTTTGACTACTCGCCGGTTGATGACACGTCAACTTTACCTGATTTGGCAAAGTATAAGATTAGGGCCATGGACTTTATTCATGCCTTTTTATCTGTACTTGTGTTCTTTGGAGTTTCATTGAGTGACACAAATGTGGTGACATGTTATTACCCGAAACCAGGAGTTGAAACTAAGGCTCTTCTGTATATTATTCCTCTTGGAATTGGAACTCTATGCAGTTCGCTATTTCTTCTATTTCCAACCACCAGACATGGGATTGGCTACCCTCTTACATCTGATCCAAAATAGTTTCTCATTTTCTAGTTACTTTGTTCATGTAGTAGCAGAATATTGATCTGCCATGCACTGTTTTTCTATTCCTCTTATGTTTTGTTCATTACTACTATCATCCATTGAATTGAATTGAAGTTTGGTTTGTTTATTAGACTCCCGCACGATACTACTATCATAACGACTTGGAGTGGTGGAATCAATTTCTCACTCTTTCTTCTAATTTACAACAACCTACAATATATATTTTTTTTTTCCTTCAAAGGACATATATTTTTAAATTTGTTATCTATATGATTGACTTTGGGGGACACGACAACTTCGATCATGCTTCTTTCATCAAAGAAGATTTTACTAAATTAATCCAGTATTTAAAATGACATTCCAACAAAATATTTAACAAAAGAGATTAAAAGACGGAATTAATAAAAATAAAGTTACAAAGACAAATGAATTTTATAAGCAAAAACTAAAAAACGGATTAATTTATTTTTATTTAGGTTTAAGTGCACTTTTATCTTCACTTTTGATAAAATTGAGTTTTCTTATATGTAAATTTATTTTTTTATATAGTTATGTACGGTCCGTGTAAACTTGTTTTACACTATTATCCAATAGAATTATAACATCATGTCATGTAATGTCAGTATTTTTAAATTGAAAGTGTGATTTGGCTGAATATACGCCGCTGATTGATAGACAATGTAAAAATATTTTATAATTGTTAGTGAATATTCCTTTTTCTCTAAGTAAACAAGCTTTAGGGTGACAAAGGGGATGTGTGCTAGAAACTTTGACTTGTTTAAAAAAAAAACAATGACGGACTAAACTATTTAGTCCAACCTTCATTTGCATTCATGTGAGAAGTAGCTTTGGCATCTATGTACCATTGCACTAATCATCAGGAGGAGTCATATATAAAATATACAATGCAACTTCAATGTTAGTTGTCGCATATGATGACATCCATGAATTATGAGGTTTAAAAATGAGAATTCTTGGCTAGCGCTGAGAAGAAAATGGATTTTTACAAATTTAGTGTTGTTGGGTACAGACATGGTGGAGTGGCCCAAATTTTCCACGGTGTAGTCTATGGTGGAAAAACTCATCGTTGTTGTTGGGACAAAAATGATGGCTACTACTGATATTGTGATCGGTCGCCGTAACCTTTGCCTAACTCTTTACCAAGACCACTATGATTGTTGCCTCTAACGTGGTTGGATGATGCATTATTATAGGCACAATGGTTGTTACCGTGATTTATGTTGTTATGATTTTTATAAAGAGAGGAATTGCCAACAAATTTACCATCTTAAGATGCGGGAAACAAAAAATTCCATGTGATGGTTGCTGTCTTATTTGCTCTTGTCATTTCCTCCAAAGCGATCATTAAAGGGATTTTATAGAAAGACAAAAGTATATCTTCATGTCAAATTTGTGATTCGACGATGGCTTAAAATCAATCATTCTAGAAATAAGTTGGAGTACCAATCACTCGTTTGATACATCAACACTAACATTAGATAGATGATCAAAAAGAGATTTCAAATGTTGACAATATGATGAAGCATTAGAGAATCGTTCCATCTGCACTCGTGAAAATTTCAGATAGAGTTTCCTTGAATTCTTGTTGTAAAAAAAATCAATTAATTGGTTCTAAGTAAATTCAATCGTTGAATCATGCTTAGTGATTGTGTTAAGCAACCCACTAGATATAGTTTCGTAGATCTATTGTAAGACAACTGCATCTACACGCAACCAAAGTTTAGGATTCATTTCTTTAAGAGAGATTAGTTAGTCGTATCATCCATACATCAAGAAATGATATGGTAAATGACCTGGTAAGTTCTGGCATGGATATTAAAGAGTTACGACAATGTATTATATTGACTTGTTTCCACATCTAGCCTAATTTGATGAAGTTGGTGATGTTAGGGATAATGAAGGCATGATGAGTGACATGAGTATGAATTTGAGTAAGGGCTAGAGATGATTTTGGTTGTGAGAAAGCAATTAGAGAGGGGGGGTCAGATTTATCCATGAGGTAAAGGGAAAGAAGAAAAAGAGATTCTCGACAAAAAAAAGTAAAGAGCTAGAGTTAAAAAAATAAAGCTTTTTGATACCATGTGTACGTGCTAAAAAATAGAATGAGATAGTCATGTGTTTGTAGGGATGTTTTATGTGTTTAGGATATTTGAACAACATGTAGGGTTTGCTCACCTAGAGATGTGAGAAGCTTCGTGTGAGTGATTTTTTATGAAAAATTAGAGATTCCTCTATCATTTTGGCAATGAGATATTTATAAGGGCTTTTTAGGTCTAGGCTGGAGAGTCAAATAGTGGCTTTCCATACCTTCATGACCAAAGAACAAGGACATTGGAGGACTTGGTTCCCTAGGATCTTGGGGAGAGCGGTTTTCACCTTGTAACTAATCCTAAGTCAATTGGCATTTGGGACACGTCACTGACCACGTTCTCTGCGTAAATGGAGCTGATTTGGATGGTGTAAACTCAATTAAGCCACTAGGTTTCCATGTCGGGCGAGTATTGTCCATCGCCTAGAGTCATAGGGAAAACTTTGTGCGACCTAAGGCTTCGTGTGGCAACTCACCCCCGCCAGTGGCCTTTAATATCTATTTGGTGAACTATCCTCTCAAAGGCCAAAATAAAAATAAAACCATACATCATGTAAGAGAATATTTTCCGTGCATGTATATTACTTAATCATGTATATATACAAAAGCAACTTGATTATAAGACATTACTAAATTATAAAAGCAATCTCTCAATTAATAAGATGAATTAGTCAAGTAAATACAAATGAATTTATATATTAAATATTAAATATACTTTATCAAAATTATTTATAAGTCATTTTAGATTTTTCACGTGCATTAAAAAAATTAATTTATTATTGTAGTAAAAAGAGAAATTATGAAGAATAGTTCAAAAGTATTTTTCATTAATTATATAAAAGAGAAATTTAGAATTGAAATGAATGATAATAATAAATACTTAAAATATAAAAATATTTAATAATTGACTGATATTCTAAAATGATTTATAATTTAGCGCAAATCAATTTATAATAAATAACAAAGAGAATATTTACTAAATGTTCTAATACCTTATATTATAATTTTAATATCGTTCATACATTATAATTTTAATCTTGTTAAACAATTGAATTAAATATTTGGTTAGCTTATTCCCGCATAGCACTAGTCAACTCAGCTCTGTAATGTCTTGGAGTGGGGGAATCAATTTGTCAACAATTTACAACTTGTAAATATATATATATATATATATATATATATATATATATATATATATATATATATATATATATATATATATATATATATATATATATATATATATATATATATTTATATTATTTGACTGACTTAGGGACATGAGCACTTCAAAAAATAAAGTACTAAAACTAATTAAAAAAGACTGAAATAAATTTTAAATAAAAATATTGTCAAATGGGTATAATTTTTTCGTAATTGATTGTTTGATTTGATTCCAAAAATTAAGTATGGGTACATTATTAAAAGTATAATTTTGAGAATACTATTTCTAAAAATATTATTTTTGGGAATTTTATTTCCTTTTATGTATTTGGTGAAAACAATTAATTTTTTCTAAATATTTACAAAATATACTTAACTTAAAATATAAAATATAAAATATAAAATATAAAATAAATAATTTAAAATATATAGGAGTGAGATGTTACAAGTGATAATGAGAGTGTAAGATTCTCACCCTATAATATAAGAATAAAAAATGACAAAATCATGTGTAAAATAAATTTCTCAAAATAATTTTTTTTTGGATATAATATAATAAAACTTGATACAAACATGGAAATAAAAAGTATTCCAACCTACATTTCTAAAAATAAATTTTCAATCCACAAAATAAACGTCCTCTATGACATAAATGAAACCACATGAATTAAAGAGGATTTGTACACAAATGGTCAAGATTATATTTATATGTGCATTTTGGTTGTGTTCTCTTAGTTCTTTTGAGGATTAGGACTTGCGCTTGTTGCTTTGTGTAGTATTGGTGTCAATATCGTGGTGCAATTTGTCTCTTTATTATTTGTAAGATATTTATGAAGTGTTTGGATTGGCGGAACAAAAGTGATTATAATATAATTGAGTTTTTGGATAAGTTTAATAGAATTAAGTTTAATAAAATTGATCTATGTTTGAATATATTTATGTAAAAGTGAGTAGAACAATAAATTTTAATGTAAAAATCATTCAAAATTAAATTTAAAAACAAAAGCTATAAATTTTAATTTCAAATAAAATTAATTCTACTTTTAAAATATCAAACACCTCAAAATTGTTGGTGCACAAGATAAAGATGGGAGAGAAAGAAAATAGAGAGAAAGACGGCTACAACAAACTTGTTGAGGAAGAAATTATATATTAAATTCTTGTTAAAATCCTAGTTACAAAGTTGTTTATATACACAAAATAAATTGTCACGTATGCACTAGCAAAAGTAAACTTAATAACTAAGTTAACCAAACAAACTAAGATCCCAGAAGTTAAACATATTTTTGAGACGCAACCTCAGAAGTCGCTTCTTCTGACTAACACAAATACTTCTGAATATGAATTACTTCTAACACAATCCCTTAATTCGTATTCAGCTAACTAAATTCTACAACACCAATTCTATTTCTCAAACAGATAAAGTGTTCAACTTGACAGTCTTTGTCAGAACATCTGCAAGTTGTTTATAGGTGCTACAGTGCACAACTTCTAACACTCCATTATGGACTTGACTTCTAAAAAAAATGGAACTTTGTGTCAATGTGCTTGCTTCTCCCATGTAACACCAGGTTCTTGGCAAGGTTTTTTGTTGTCAATCATCAACTTCACATGTTTTCTCACCTTGATCATCAGATCATGCAATAAATCCATCAGCCAAACTGCTTGACACACAACCAAGACACTTGCAATGTATTCAGCTTCATAAGTTAACAACACA